AAGCCAAAAAATATTGAAAAACTAATCAATCAGAATATGTGTAATAACTTAACATATTCATGCAATAACAAAGCCCATACTTATGAGTCAAATAACTTCGGCTTTGTGGCAAAATGAGCTTATCATCAAAAGCGCACGAATAATTTCAATATCTACACACACACACACATACACATGTTTGGTTTTTGTGTGTGCTTTTGATTGGTGATGGCTTGCACGTGTTAGAAACTTGCAAATATTACTGCACAGCCTAATGGCATGTCTGCTGAAGGAGCTACCGACACCTTTATCGGCAGAAAGAATTCACACACATGCACATGTAAACTCCTTACCACACACCAAACGACCCCAAAGTCACAATGTTTACTGCTGTCAGCGGTTTAGACATTCAGCACACAAAATTGCATAGGTCGCTGTCTAAGGCTGGTTATTTTGCCTTCGCAAGCTCACACTGCGCTCCGCTGTACTTCGCACGCAATTGATTCAGTACTCCAAGCGCCACAAAGCTGCTGCTCGGTTTACATTATATAATGTCTGTATGTGTAAGCGTTGTAAACGATTTTCGCTTCGTGTTTCGTATTAATTTTTGTGTGCATTTCTGTGCTCTTGCGGCGCTTTCGCAACAGACACTCAGCTGCTTAGGAGGAAGTAAAAGTCCTTGAAGTCTTCGGTAGACGCCTCAAATACTTCCACTTTAGACACTGAAAGTTTATTCAGCTGAGTGCCACGAAACCATTTTCCCTCTCTCAAGAAGCTCACATTTTCTTGTATTCGCCATTTACTTGAACGATTGCGATTATGCAACGCCTGCTTCGGAGAATTCCACGTCACTACCGCTATGTGGGCGTCATCGCTAACGTCCTTCGCTATAAAAGTTTGTCCTTTTTCTTTAATTCTGTTCTTTTTTTCAATCTGCGTGCTTTTTTTGTTTTCATGGCGCGGTTTGTTTGTCATTGGTTGCTATAATCGCTCAAAAAAATTCTGTCTCACGAAAGTACACAGCCACATTCTGATATAATCCGCTTCGCAGCTGCCAAAAAGTGGATCAAAAATCGGCAGAAATTTCCGTTCATCATTAGTGTTTGCTTAGTGGAAATTTTAATTCTCGATGAATATAAAAAGCATTTATGAGCCAAGCTTTCTTGTGGATTCTTATCGAGATTAGTTTAATAATATTTACTCTCTTTTTATGCTGAGAGTTTTATGAAGAAATTAGAAAAGCATTCTTCCACTTCAAATATGAGCAAATAACATTTCGCCTACCCCAAAATTCGCCACTTTCTTTGCTTTACGCTTCTCACATCGTTTTCAACGCCTCTCTGCCTAACCACTTTTCGCTGTTGCTCGTTCGCTTTGTTGTGTGGCACGTAGGCGTCGGCGGCGACGGCTCGAAACTTTTGCCTCACAAAATGCGTCCTCATACATATTTAATGCAATGCTTCTTCATTTACTCGCCCAAGGCTCAAGTTTCCTTGCTGCCTTGCTGCGTTGTTTATTTGATTTGATTTTATTTGTTTGCTTTGCTTAAGTACTTTCAAATTTTTCTTCAAGGACGTCGCCCGTCTGGCAGTCTGCGCTTCTCATTTCCGTGTGGCTTAAGTTGCTCGTTATATCTTGGCGTTTGTTTTGTTGCCTTTTTACTTATTACTAAACGAGTGTGTGGCACTTTGAAATTTGAGCTTTTCGAAGTGGTTGGAAACCGTTGCCTAAATGCTTAGATGTTGGCTGCTTCTAAGGTAACCCTTTCGCAAACTTTTCGGCAAGTAAAAAAGTACGAAAAAATACTAAGTATGTCTGCTTTCTATTTGTTGAACTTGTGGGCTTGTCATCTCTTCGCTGCTTATACTTAGTAACCTTGTAGCAAAATAAGGCACACAAACTTGGCAGCTTAAGTCCGATCAGCGCTGGCAAGCCTGCAGGCAGCAAAGTTTTTCCAAATTCACTTTTGACAGATATTAAAAGCATTTAGTTTAGTGAGAAAGCATTACACGCTTTTCTCAGCGTATAGTTTCAAATGTGTTTTCAAAAAGGTGAGTCTGCCTGCGTGCCTGTACCTTTGTGTCGGAGCTAATTTTGATCGATCACTTGTTCATCAAAGCCCTGCTTGTTTTTATGCCATTAATTATACAGACTGAGTTGATAAAGAGATCGATCATCGCAATGTCACTCATACGCATCGTTGTACTGCCATATATTCGGTGGCAGAGAGACGACTGCAACCACATATATTGACAAAATACGAAAGTACTTTTTCGACTACCCAATATCAGTATATATTTGATTAGTTTTCTGCAATTTTTCCTCAAATCTAGCTGAAAAGCGATTAGTAGCTGCCTGGCTTGCCTGGAAATTTGGATAAATAAGTAGCTTCAGTCCAAATACGCCAAGCTTCTTGCAGATGTCGGATGAAAGGAACTTTGTATGTAAGAAATCTTCTAAAACAGTTGCAAAAAGTGTAGTGTGCCTTGCTTTAATAGTCTCTACTGTATAAATTGAATACTAAAATTGTGTTGTTGTTTTATCCTATACAACCTGTAAAGATTTGTATGTGAGTGAAATTTATTTGTTTTAGTCTTTTCAGGCGTAATACAAAAACAGTTGCTAGACGTCTAGCATACTTTGAAAATTAGATTTCTGTTAAGACGCGCCAAATATTCATTATAACCGTACCATAGCAACAAGCCCTAAATCCCACTTATAGGCATGGCACATGCACACACGCTTAAATATGCAGACATCCGCCAAATTTCGACACATATTTGAGCATAGCTTGGAAGCAATTAATGTCGACCACAGCCTGGCAACCCAATTACAGGACGTAAATATGCATAAATATGTACCTGCACTCGCACACACACACACACTTACATACATACCTATATACAAATTACTTTGAGTGGATTATCTTTTAAGAGTATATATACCGTATATTTGCTTAAAAGCAGCATATGTATGTGTGCGTTTGAGTGAATTAAAATGGCGCCTACAGCACAGTTATCTATGTCAAACGCAAGGGCAGACGCATAAATTCATTAATAAAAGCCTTTTAATAGCGCTGTTGCGGGGAAGGCGGCGTGTGGCACGCGTTTGCAATTTCAAGCCAGACAAGACAGCAAACACGCATACACACATACATATACATTTGCATGTTTGCATAAGAACAAGAGCAACAGTAAACATAGCAAAGTAAACAATTAAAGGACATTTACGCACACACGCACACGCACACGCACACACTCAAACTCAAACACGAATATGCACAAGAATATTTGGCATACGGGCGTTATTGTTGTAATAAACTATGCGTCTCCTGTTGGTGTGTAAACACATTTAGCATTTCCATCCATTTAACCAAACGCTCTGTAGGTGCGTTTGGCAACGCGGAGCCTAAACACATACATTTTTATGCCTTTTTGGCTTCATTCATTTTCCAATTCACTTAACGGCGCATCACTGACGCACTAAGCTTTGCCACTTGTTTCTTTCCTATCCACGCTCGTTGTTGCTGTTGCTTTAGCGTCTGCAGCACCGAGCAAAAGAGGAAATTGAAACATTAAAATTTTATTGTTTGCCAAATTTGTCGAAGAAATGCAATTTACTATAATTCGAATTGTTTTTGCCTGAGCGGAGTGTGACTTGCAAATGGCATTGCGCTTACTCGCTTGAGTTTGTTAATAAAATGTTTGCCTTAACTTTATGGTCAAGTTGTTATAAAATAACGCTTTCGCAGTTGCTATAAAATTTTACGACGATTAATGATTGCGCACGTTTTTAGTTTTTAAAACTACGACTATCACGAGTTTAACCGAATTCATATTTAAATCGGCCGAATCGGCGCTCCTGGCGTAATAAAGGAAGTGGCGTTGCATAATTTGCTGCCTGAGTACTATGAGGTACTGTGACCCCCTTTAAGGCTTTATGATACGCAAATATGTGCTATTTAAAATTTTCTTTGCATTTTAATTTTTTATTCAAAGTAAATAATTAAATAGAATAAAATAATAAATCAAGCACATGACTTTTCTTCGCAAAATTTGCCAGTTAGCTTTATGTGCCGTAAAATAATAACATAGAAGATCTCTCTACAACCACATATGTATGTATGTATGTATATATCGTCACCTAAAATGCAAAATAACGTAATATCACTTTTCATAAGTTTACAGGCGAAGGAAAAATGATATAAACGAAACCTTTCATATTCAAAGAAAACTTTATTTTTGGTTATAAAATGGTTATATATATACCAATATAAAGGTTATAAGTAACATGATGTAGTGAAACGTAAGCAATGAAAAACTCAATTTCGACTTTTTGGATGATACCTTGTACGTCATTTTAGGTGACAATATTTATGTATGTCAGCGGTTGTATGAACCTACGAAACGAGTTACTGATCCATAAAACTACTTTTGGGTCTCAAATGACCGATAGAAAAGCGTATAAGTCAAAATGATGCCTACATTTAGACGCAAGTAGAAACTCATTTTTATTAATTGAAAGCTTTTATAGCCTTGACAGATCCAATTGACCCATGTTAATGCGAATTTGTAATTCACAAGAGTTTCGTGCATTTAGCCAAGAATTGAATTTGCCAAATTTGAGTGGGCAACACTGCTCAAAAATGACCGATTTTTGGTATTTTTTGACAGATGTCGCTTGAAGGCTACCGCCTCCTTTGCGTTTATAGCATCTAAGGTAAGCAGTTTTATATTGATAATTAAATTATGTGCAAGTATATTAACAAAAACAAATTTTTTTATTTTTAGATGGTTTGCAGCGTTGCTTAGTGCGTATTAATTTTGCTCGTCTGTCAGGGTTATTAGTTTCTTTTCTGGAAAAAAAAGTGCAAAATATTCTTAGCAAGCAGTAAATTGTGATTGGAGCTACATAATCTTATTATAAAATATGATATATATTTCAATATATATATGTCATTTTTAATTAGCGAAAAAAATATTTGTTAATTAGATATACATATATATGTATGTTACACTTACGGGTACAGGATTGTCCGGCTCAGTGTGCAGAAGTGTCTGATCTTCGGGCAACAGTGGAATTGGTAATGTTAGAGCGACAGTGGCACGACGTTTCAGCGCCGTGACACGATAACAGTTTATGGCAACAATCAAAACGCTGATGCATGCGACGCTCAGTGAAATGCCAATCGCAATCAATAGTATACGACCTGGAAAGAGCCGGAAAAGAGAGAGAGAAATGTATGAGCAACAAATCATTAATTTAGCCTATAACATTTTAAATTATATAATTATGAAAAATTAGTTAAAAGTTGATATTTAAGTAACACTAAAGCCGTAAGATACGCACAATGCGTGCTACGCTTCCGCTGAGCATGTCATTCTCAGCTTGAACCGAGCTAAAGAGCGCATTAATAAATAATAAATGTGCGCAAAAACACACAATGATTAGTGGAAATTAATAAATTGATGAAGTGTAATTGTATGATTTCCTATCGCTAACCGAATTTGTTGCAAACACATTACTGCGCATTTAACGGTATATATTTTTTCTTCGTTTTCCCTCTTACGTTTTCTGCGCGCACCAAAGGTGTTGCGTGTTTGTTGCCAGGCGCACGCCATACAACTCAAATACAACAACAATATATATAACAACAACAGCAATCGTCTATTTGTTGGCAACTTTGTAGGCGAGTGAATGCGAAGACCTTGAGACGCCTTGCTGAAGCGTGGCGTGCGACGCCAGACAGTAGGGCTAGACAGACCGGCTTGCCAGCAACGCCAGCGCGCTACCCGTGTGCTAGTTGGTCAACAAAACCAACAATAACAATAGAACAGGCATACCATGAAAATGGCAGCAAAAAACCATTCGGCCAACAGTGATAAAAATAAAAGCGCAGCTGCTGCCTCACGCTACCTGCCATCAGCCGCTGGCTTTGCTCGTTTTCGCTGAGCGCCTGCATTCATTAGATATATTTAATTACAATTTTCATTATGATTGCGCGCAGCAATATTTCGCCGCAGCTCAACCATGCAACCGCGCACACACTCACACACGTACGTATGCTTTTCACAGTCGCCTAAGCATAAATAATAACGAAAGCAGAACAAGAAGAAGAGCAAAATAATAGTCAATATTTATTTAAGCATTTTGCTGGCATTGCTGACGCTGACGCTGACGCTGCTGCAAAGCAAATTGCATGTAATCAGTTATGACTCCGAACAATGCAGCTGCAATGGCGCAGCTGCTGCCGTTGCGTCGTCCCCTTGCCAAGGCGAAGTGACGCTGCGGTGCTGTTCCGCTCGGCGGTTGCCACACAAAGCTGCTGGCGTGTTGACAGCAACATTTGACACCCACAATTGACACCTCATGCATCAGCGACAGCAGCAACGGCAACAACAGTTGCCAACAATGGTAAATATACACTTTTTATACATAAATATGCATGTACATGAGTGTGTGACTGGGTCTGTGTGTGTCGCTTGGCTGTCAGTTTATGTGTGTTTGTTGCTGTCTTTTGTGCGGTTTGGCTCCGCAGTTGTTTGACATTTTGAAATTAATGGAGTGAATTTGATTTACAACTCAGATTGTGTGGAGGAAATTATGATTCCCGTTGGCTATATTTAGATATTCGCGTATTTATGCGAAATATTTACTTGCCGATTTCACTGTGCATTTGTAGGCATATGTCTAGGCAGCAGACCGGTTTTCCTTTGTTAATGCTCGTATGCAATTTTTATCTAGCGTAAAAAAAGTTTCGAGCGAAAATGACTAAATTTTTAGTTATTTGTGTTTGATATCTGAAAATAGTCATAGAGCGCGACTTGAAGTACTCGGGAGGACGTTGTGCTAAGGGTTAAGGATTGACTTTACAATCGATTATTTTCGATTGTGAAATGGATTAATGGATTCGTTTTCGATTATGGAAAGAAATAATCGGTTATTTATGAGTTATTAATCACAACGGCAATAAATTGGTTACTGCATCAAATCTATTAGATATTTTTATAAGATCGAAAAAATGCTTTTCTACACTGTTTATCACCAGCGAAGACTTCCACATTAAGTTGGCAGCGATTACTCATTTGCCATAGAATGTTGAAGTATCAACTGCTTATCTCCGTGCTAAGTTGGAAGCGATTTTCTTGGAATGTTGAATTACAAAAAAAAGTTGGTTGCTAAAATTTTTTACCAAGAAGTTTAGGTTTTCGCATTTTAATTTCGTTTACTTAATACCCAATTCCGATGAATTTATCGATAATTAAGCGTAGATAACTGGATTTTTGAAGTGAAGTTCTTTGAGGCAGTACTTTGGATTTTCCAGTGAAGTTAGAGAAGTTTTTTGACATTGTACTTTATATCAGATACAGCTTCTTCGAATCCACTAAAAATTTTATATAAAAATAATCGATTTGAGACAATTTTCTGAAACTTTCCAAACCAAATATATTAGAGGGTTTAAATAAGTTTTGATTTTTGAGAAGTGATTATTAACAAACGCTCTCATCACCAAGTGTCTTCAGTCGAATTTTAGGAAAGAAATATATGAGGCAGTGCCAAACTGAAAGTAAGAATATTGGTGGTATTTCGGTTGCCCCAAAAAGTATGCAAGCTATTTTTATGTATTTTGCCTACATTAAGGCCTAAATTAAGGAAAAATGCCATGCAGGCCACCAATGAAATTTTTGAAGTTTACGGAGACGATGCTGTATCAGTTCGATAGCGCATACAATGTTTCGGTAGCTACCGTTCTGGAATTTTCGAAATTTCGATTTTCACTGATGAAAGTTTTACACTGATGGAATAATGTTTCTAGCAGAAAAATGGCAAAAAGTGGTCGACCAAAATGGTACATACCTGTTTTATAAAAATAAAAAAAACAAATAACTTGAATTTTCATTAGAAATACGAAAAGACTTTTTCGACTACGCAATATATATATAAAAAAAAAACTATTTCCATTAAAGAGTTTTGTAAAATTAAAATTTTTACCACATAATTATAATAATAAGATTTTAAGTAAAATTGCACTACTCAACAAAGCTGAAGGAAAAGATTGCGACTGATGTGCTAAAAGGTCTGTGGGGTATTTGAGGAGTCCTGGTAAGGACTTTGAGTTAATGTACAGTTATTTTTATCACCCCACTCCTTGACTCAACACAAAAAATTCGACGTTTTTGGAAATTTTTACTATCATTTACGGTTTAAGCAACCCAAAATTAGCAAAGAAACCGCCTCTAACACACAGTTGCAAAATGTCTGTAAACAAGTCTTATTCTTTTAAAAAATTTCAAAAATATTTGCAGACATTTTTTTAATTGCTTTTAAATTTTTTTTTTGTGATGCATTGTTACTGAGTTGAAAAAAACTCGTTATGAAAATTACCTTTAAAATATATACTTTTAGCTCCTAAAATTATCTTTTTCTTGCAGGAAAGCAACATTCATCAATATTATCGGTGGCAAATCTGTACCCGCATAAGTAATTAAAAAACCAGTTGCTCAAGTAGTTTTAATAATATATATAAATAGATTTAGTGAACTTTTTTAGAACAAAGACGATGAATGAAAAGGGCTAGAGACACTTAAATAACTAAGCCCTTAAACTTATGACAAATTTATATAATACAAATAAGAGCCTATCAAATTGCAAATTGCTGTAAGCCGCATATACATATAGTATATATTAACCAAGTATAACTATAAAACTGAAGTAATTACGAAAGCCCGGCCATTCAAGGCAGACAGAGGTTGAACTTTGTACTTCGGAGAGTTACAAAACATGGCGCTAAATCTAAAGTATTTGAGCACCTCTAACGTTAATTCCGTACACAAGTATTCGAGGTACATCAATTACGAGCGAGTGAAGTGGCTGGTTAAGTCTTTCCGTTTATAGCGCGTGAAATAGCGGTAATTAATAATACCATTCATTGACACTAATTCCACAGCCAGACACTACGCAACGCCATTCACAGTTATAAAGAGTATCGATGTGATTTCACTAGTGATTGCCAACTAAGAACGCTCCAGTGTCGCTATTTATATATACATACTCATATTTATATATTTGGGCATGCTTAGACATGAGCTGCCATACATTTCACTACATTTAGTATGGCATTTTCGATAATTACCGAATGACGCAGACACAGTTGTTATTGTTGTATTTGTTAATCGTTTTCTATTTCCGGCTTACACTTATTTTACAATGAAAAATTTAATATATAAACGAAACGGTTTGAAATTTGGAAGCGGCCGAGGAATGCTTGGCTCTCAGGTAATCACACTTAACGCTTTGGTTAACCGACTGTTGGCGGTCTGCTGGCGCTTTTGTACTTTTATATACTTTTGCCACTTCTTTTGTCGCAACTCATGGAATTCTCCAAGTGAATAATACTCACTCGCCTTTATTGCCAGCGAACAGCGAATTACTCAATAGCTAAACAAGCTCAGTGGGAGAAAGGGGTGTGTTTGCGGTGGAAGGCAAACGATGACCGGCGTACGGTGAACGGTGAATGGCGTACGGGCAGCTTTAAGGCTAGACAGCCAGACAACCAGACAGATAGGTAAATACGGACGTGACTGCTAATGCAACAGAGATAGCGACGAGCGAGCGCGACACACAGGCACACAATTGATTGGACACAGACGAGAAACCGGTTGGCAAACGGCATAAAATCGATCGAACCAGTTAGGTGGGCTGGCGGTTGGTTGGGGCGGGCGCGGTGTTGCTTGATAGGCTTTGTCATTCACCAGCACGTATACGCCATGTGCCACTGCCTGTCAGCGAGCTGAGACTCCAACAAAAATGCCTGCTCAGCAAACACAAATAGCAAATGCAAAAAATAATAAAATAAGATAACTACATAAGCTAGTTGTTGTTGTGTCTGATGAGCGGATTAAATGAATTTCTGTAACGCTAACCTAAAAAGTGCTTGTAAATCAGTATAGTGGCGCGCAGTATGTAGTCCAAAGTGCGATGCGCCGCCGATAAGGCCACAGACTGTGCTTGCGTGTGTGCGTGTATGTATGTGTGCATGGAAAACCAAGAGAGAGAAAGAGTGCGGAAAACGCGCTACCAAGCGAGCGTTGCTGCTACAGAAGAGCGTCTGACAAAGCGGTGCGTCTATAATTTCAACGCACTCAATTAGTCAGCTATATGCGCTACCACTGGCACCTCGCCGCCTCAATGGAGCGCGTGCCTTTGTGT